GCAAATTTCCCATAAAAACCCCGAAAAAAAAAATAAAATTTTGGCCCTAAAAAAAAAAAAAAAAAAAAAAAAAAGCTCAAGAGGTTTGCACATTATTGCAAGACATTGCCAACTAAATTTAGGAAAATAATTAGTTCAACAAATGAGTTACAACAGAAGCCATTGGAGGACTTCACTTCTGTCCAATCAGCTTTTAAGAAGCTCCCCTTTGTTTTTAGGATCATAAATATAGTCACCTCTGTCTCCAAACATATCATTGTGCTGAACTCATGTCAGCCTCGGGGTCTTCGAACTAATAGTCCACACAACAACATACGCCCAAAGGACTTGCACTTTTGGTATCTATAAAGTACACTACGTGCTGTCTGTTTGCCAGTAAAAAAACAAAACTTTCTTATCAGAACCTTAGAAGATGACACAGTTATAGTATAGACCGCTCACCATTTTCATCCCCAGAATAACTGCAACTTAACCCTTATGTGGGCTACCATTTAAAAAGGCGCTCTATTAAGTTGACTAGAAACAAAAGCCTTTTCATTTTTTGTTTCACACTGTTGCAGATCCATAACACAGAGAACACTTTAAGCTGAAATTATTGTTAAATGTTTTTTTTTGTTTTGTTTTTACTCTTTTTTTTGAGAACATAGTTTGAATTTGTCACACTTAAAGTGTTGCACAACACCAACAGGAGACTTCAGAACCGGTTTGAACGATATAATCGTGAAGAAAATCGCTTCAGTATACTTGCTTTTCATTTCCTACAAAAATAAACGGTTGTCTTTGCGAGAAATAATGTCTTGTATCCTACATTGTTTATAACTCAAAAAAAAATAACGAGGACGAGGTGCTTTTAGATGTATGAGAAAGATGTTCGTAAAGACAAACTGCGGTTGAGACCGTACCTATGAAGACAGGAAGGTCACAAACCTCTGCTTTGAGCTTTATATGGTAAAAACCCAAAAGCATTGATGCTGCTAACAGTGACATGACAAGTGCAACACTGGATGTGTTGTTTCCTAAAATTAGCATCCTTATTTGCTTTTACCTCATAGAAGTCATCAGATGCATGACAAGTTATTTCCATGATGAACATACCTCCAGTTTTAAGGAAGCCGGTGGTGCGGTTTGATATTTGTATTTACTGATAGGACTTCCTGAAAGAATAAACCAGAAATCTATAACTAAGATGTTAATGTAAAATAATGTTCTACATAGAAGAGGAAAAAAAGAGGAAGTTTTTTTTTTTTTTATTTCCGTTTTGATTTTCAAGCTTGTAATGTGGCTAAATATTAGTAAATGAGCTATAAATGTTCTGCTACGTTTTACTATTTTTTGTAAAATGACTGAAAAAAAAAGTTTTTAAATTCAGTATCTATTCACTTTGCTGTGTTTTAATAATCAGACACGTGATACCCAACTAAATTGTGCCTAAAAAAGAAGTATTTAGGATTAAAATCTATGCTCTCTACATACGATATAAGTGAAGGGTGACTTTTTGAGTCCAAAAACAAACAGACCATACATAAAAAAGAGAAAAGTTGAGTTTCTCAAAATGAATTTCATAGTCAACGACAAAGATGGACAGTATGGACAGAGTGGAAGAGCTTTGGCTCCGTAAATATATACAAGTTTAATGAGAAAGGCCGGCTTTTACATTATGTCTATTTAACAGGATGTGATGCAACATCCCAGTTAAACAGTACTCAGGTTTCAACATTCTGTAGTTATACTTTATCACTATAAAGCATCTGCAATTTGTGATCCAATAACTCCGTATAGAGCTTCCTATGAGGATATCAGGAGTCGTTTTAGTTTTGATAGCATCGAAAGCGCTCCTCAGACGGCTGAAGTCTGCTCTCTCCTGGTCGCTCCCGGATCCTTCCTGCTCTCCTGTGTGTTTTCGCAGTCACTGATGGATGGGAAGCCCACACTCTGCTCCACCCACTGAGCGACACAAAGCAGCTTCTTGTCTTCCAGGGCGGGGCCGATGAGCTGTAAGCCAATGGGCAGACCCCGCTGTGATAACCCGGTTGGCACAGAGACGGCAGGGAGGCCTGTGTTAAAACATTAAAAACAACGGGGTCATTTCCCATTTATGATTGTGCATCGATATTACATTTCCAGCTACAAGTGTGGGTGTCCACTGTTCATTGCAAAAGTATTCACATCCCTTAAATTTTGCCACATTTTCTCAGAATTCAACCACAAAGCAAAACGTTGTTCTAAAGTGGAAGAAAAGAGAAGCAAACTTACCAAATTTTCTTACAAAACGAAAGGCTAGCAGTTTGTCAAGCATTTGTATTCAGCCGCCTGAGTCAATACTGTGTGGAACCACCTTTTTCTGCAATTGCAGATGTTCCCATCAGCTGAAATTCTCTTCAACTCAGATTATTTTTTCATGGCCCTGCTCAAGAAAAGTATCCAATTAGCATGATGCTGCCACTGTGGTTATGGGGTGTCAATGATGTGCAGTGGTTATTTTCTGCCATAGATATTGTATTGCACATTGGCTAAATAGTTTCATCTCTCTCTCATTGGAAATATGGAACATGTGGAAGAGGAGCAGCTTCTTCCACATGTTTGCTCTGCAAACAGGAGATGTAGGATGGCTATATTGGGTAGGTTTGATGTTATCCCATGCCACTTCTAGTTTTGGATGATAATCAGAGTATTTGAGGAAAGGTGGCGGAACACCAATGCATGTCGCATTTTCAGATTTTCAAAATTAAATGTATAACTATGCATTTCTTTTTCTTCCACTTCATAATTAAGCGCAACTGTAATACGGTTTATCACATAAAATCTACCCAATGCTGAAAAAAAAACCACACGTGTGTGTGTGTGTGCATAAAGTCTATAAGGTTTTAAATCCTCCCACACAACCTATATATGCTGCCACTTCTCTAGAGTAAAGAGAAGGTATGTCTCCATACCAGCCATGTTTGCAGGTTGGGTGAAAACATCTTCCTGTGCGCTGCGAGTGCGGTTATCTTCCTGTGTGAAGTCATGGTAACAGGCCGCATCAGTCAGAGTCGTGGGAGTCAGCAGCACATCGATCCCTGAGCCAAAAACGTGCCGGAAGTCGTCGGCAATGAGCCGACGGACTTTTTGGGCCTTCACAAAGTAGTGCTGGTAGTTCCTGAAAGGTGTGACACATCCATGGTCACTCTGTGAGTAAAGTACTGATGCCAGACACTGGAGGCGCCTGAGGCTGCCTATGGAGACAATTTGCAGCCTTACTGTTTAAGCAGGAAGTAGTTCCCGGAAAGAATCCTCCCTCTGACTACATCGTTGAAGCCCTCGTGTCGAGTTGAAGCATACATCACCTCCGTGGAGCTCTTCATCTCACTCCGGTGTCCTGGTAGAGGAGGAAAAACACCAGAATCCCCAAACCTTTACCACCGTCACATGATCTGCCCGCATCCGATTTAACTCCACACGATGACGTTTGTACCGTATTCCAGTCCATCAAATCGGGCCATGTTTGACGCCACCTCGGCGTGGCAAAGGACGTGGTAGCAGACGATGGAGTACTGAGTGTGTGGGAGGGAAACCTGCTCCACCCGGGCTCCGGCTTTTTCAAACAAGTCTGCAACACGACTCCACTGAGCCAGGGTCTCCTCAGACAGGCCGGGGGCATGGTACTCCTAACAGATGATGGCAGACACCAAACAAAGTTACAAGCTCAGGGTTCCTACACATTTTTTATTTTTTTATTTTTTACACCTCGTTTGTTTATAGCTACATTTTAGGCACTAAAATTGAACATGCAAATATGTAAAGCTTGATGAATGAATGAATGAATGGATGGAATGGAAGAATAACTATAGTCAGTTGTAGTGGCTCTTCCTCAAACTTCTCTAAAAGGGACTTTTTTCTAATAGAATATTTGAGCTTGGGGTTTAAGCATAATGCACCAAATATTTGTCTCTCTGAGTTTGTCTTTCTCATGATCCAGGTGTTAAAGAGAAGAAACAGACCCACTCAATATTAGGTCCGTGTTGGTAATAGGTGTGTAAAGGCATCAAAGCCAGTGCAGCCGATGTAGATAAAAGTCTTTAATTGAGTATATTAACTCACCTTGGGGATGCCAACACAGATGTTCCTGACATCAAAGTCTTCAGGAAGCTCTGTTAGTGCTGACGGGGCAGGAACTGTGGTCGAGTCTCTAACATCAGCGCCTTGGAGGACACCTGTTTGACATGTAAACACAGTTCCAGGTTACACCTGCTCTATCTTGTTCTTGCTGTTAAAATGATAACATTTCATTACAGCTTTTTCCTTTGTGTCTTGTTAATGTACTATCAATTTCACAACCTCATATGGATTTTTAGCTATGCGAACACCAACTCTGCTTTGGTGTTTTTGTCACGTCAGAGAAGCCTGGGTAAAAATATTCCTGAACCTGTGCAAAAAACATTGGAGGTTATTATTTGCTACAACTTCTTCTCAGATTTAATAAGATCACACCTGTTTTGAATTACAGTTGTAAAAAAGTGGATACAACATTATTTTATTTTCAGAATATGTCATCATCCTAAAAAGAAGAAAGAGACACGTGTCCCCTACCCAGGGTGATAGCTGCGTCACCGACGCTGCGTGTAATAATTCCAGGGACATCCATGGAATTAACTAAGGGAATGAGCCCATGCCTTGACACCAGGCCGTAAGTGGGCTTCAGGGCGACAACTCCACACAGCGCTCCGGGATTACGGGTTGAGCCGCCTGTGTCTGAACCCAAAGCCCTGCCAAAACATTTGCAAACATCAGGGAATATTTTTCCATTTTTTTTCTTCACTGTTAATATCACTGCGCGTCCTCACAGGTAGCTTGTGCATGAGGCGACAGCCGCGGCACTTCCCCCAGAACTTCCTCCAGTGATGACCCAGTCGGAGTCAGAAGCTGCTCCCGCCTGTGTTCTGTATGAAGCTGCGTAGCTCCACGGGTTTCTGACCGGACCGAACGCCCCGTCGGTACTGCCTGCCCTGGGAGGACAAACACATCGACACTAATTTAACTTAAAAATAAAACCACACATTTCTAAAATATTTTCTGCATTTAGATTTAGATTTACCCCATCGCAAACTCGTCCATGTTAGTCTTCCCCATCAGCACAGCCCCTTGGTCAAGAAGCTTTTGTACAACTGTAGCATTGTAGGGCGGAGTGTAGTCTATAAAAAGAGTAATATTTTTACATACCTGCACTGATTCTGACTATATATAAGAAACATTTTATGCTCTAACCTTTCAGCATCTTGGAGGCACATGTTGTCCTGATATTGGCAGTGCAGAAATTGTCCTTGACTGCAAAGGGGATCCCATCCAGGGGCCCTTTGGGGATGCCTAGAAGAAAATACATTAATGCGTCAACACCTGTGACTCCACCGAAATCAAAATGAGATAAAAACTCATGTAATCCACACACCTTGAAGCAGCCTTGCTTCCGACTGTCGAGCCTGTTTCAGAGCAAAGTCCTCTGTCACGGTGATGTAAGCATTCAGGCGCTGAGTTTTTTTGATGCGATTCAAACACTTCCTACAGAGCTCAGTTGGGGAGATTCTCCCCTCCCTGAATGCCAAAGACACCTGGAAAAAAAGACATAAACACAGCTTAAAGCACGGAGTTACACAAGTAAACATTTAATTTCTATAGTGTGGTGTTTTGTTTACATGTCTTGGATTTTCTTGTATATGTAACAGAAACATGATATATATGAATAATTCCTACACTAGGTATGTTTTATAATTTCCCAATATTTGAAAAAGTTTTCTCAAAGAAAAGACAAAATTTGGAAACATTTCTTGTCTTAAAAATCCCAAATAGTAACAATATTGAAACTAAGGGAGCAAAACTTCTCACTGCTATTTTGCAAGTTAGCTTAAATCAAATAAATTAAGATTATGTCTTTGAGTTATTTTTTTTTATTTTTTTTTTTTTTTTTAGATAATTAATTTGCCTATTTTTAAATTTAAAAAAGTTAGGTAATGCATTATTCCATTTTATTTCACGAATTGAACATATTTTATTTAATCTTCCCAAATGTATTGGTAAGATTTTGTACGCAAAACTCATCGTTCAGGGAATTTACTAATCAGGACTTGGAGATCTGTGACTCAATGAGAATCAGTATTTAATCCAGTTTAACAAATTCTTTCTTTGGCCATGTCCACGAAACCCATCCCATGAAGCTCACTGTTTTTGTGCTGTGTATTACAGCCAGACATCTCTCTTTATCTCTCATCTCTCTTTCTTACTAACGTAACATTGAATAAATGCCTATTTCAATATAAAAAGATGAATCGGTAAATGAGCAACTAACCTCTTTCAATGTCAGTCCGAGCATATCTGCTGATTTTCCCCGATCACCCTCAAATTAACATCAACATTAACACAGTGTGTTCTACCTGTAGGCCGCCATGTCTGCGTCTGCGATCAACGTCTAACAGCGCTGTCTGTGATTGGCTGGCTGCTGAAGAAACAGCATTGTGATTGGTGGAGTCACTCGCCGTGTCAGGCAGCAGGAAGAAAATTACCGAATAATAGGACGTGGTTTTGAAATGGTTCAAAGATTTTAATTGCTAAGTTTTCTGCAAATATGCAGGTTTTATAATGACACACCGTATATTAGGTAAGAACGTAGAGTAGTTTACCGCTGCACATATTAACTGCTTAAGCTGTCAGTTTAACAGACGAACATTTTGTTTATATCGACACTGTAAACATGAGTTGTGTTAGATATTTGATGCACAGAAGGTTGTTTCGACACCTCAGTAAATCCGTGTGTGAGCACAGAGTCCATGGCTGGCTAAGAAACCAGAGCAGACTGATCCGGACCTCCAGCAAAGCCATGACCATCATGCCTGCTTGGGTTATTGATCAATATGGAAATAATGATGTACTGCGTTTCACAAATAACGCCAGCTTCCCCATCATCAACTACCCCAATGAGGTGATTGTAAAGGTGTTTGCGGCTGGACTGAACCCGATTGACGTCAGCATGAGAGGTCAGTTTAAATCGAGACCGATGAAAATTATTGCTTGGAGGACTTCTTTAACTTGTGTTCCGTTTTAGAGAGAAGGACATTTTCAGAACTGTGTATCATGTGTTTCCTGTGGTTGTATTTGTCTTTTCAGTTAGGCATAGGGTTGCCACCGTTCAGAAATTAAAATAAGGGACCAGTCAATAACAACATCGCAACACCAACACCGTGAGTCAAACAATGACCGGGGCAGCATACTATATAAAGTACTCGAGATGGCGTCCTTATTGTTACACATTTACATTTGAAGAATACGGAACATTTAACAGCCAATCACGGGACGGGTGGCAACCCTAGATGAGCAATCAACAACCCCTCAAGTTTAGCCACAGCTTCTAATGACAATTTGTGTTTTTGAAAAGTGGCATGCCTGTGGGCTAAACTGAGAGAATAATAAGATTGGTTGGTTAAAATGTTTACATTCGTTTTTTTATACCTTGTTTTTTGATTGTTACTTTTTTAAGAGATCTGTTTTTACATTTTTTATTGTGACGGCAGAGTCATGCAAAAGAAGAATTACTCTGATGTACAGTTTTTTAAATACTTTGTGGTTTGTAGGGCCTACGTGCCTTGCAGAGGAAATTGACTTGTTGCTGTGTTCTTTTTGTGGGATGACTTATGTTCATTTTTGTGCCTGAATTCCGGGGTATTTTAAATCCACCCCTGACCTGAAAAATATACATACCTTATATTTGAGCGCATGGCTTTATTTTTGCAGTGGTAATAGAAAAAATGTGAGGGGGGAAAAAACATCTGGTTTTGAACGACTGTACTCCTGTTCCAGATTGTTTTGGTATTGTCTGCATGTCTCCACTGTAGTGATTAAGAGTTTTTTTCCTCTGAAGTGATAAAACGACGTTTTCCGATTCAGGTGGCTATGGCTCTGCTACAATGGCTATGAAAAGAGATCCTCTGAATATCAAACAGACAGGCAGCGAGTTTCCTCTCATTCTGGGAAGAGACGTTTCTGGTGTCATTATGGAATGTGGCCTGGATGTGAAGTACTTCAGAGAGAGAGATGAGGTAAGAAAAACAAGCTGTTGTGTTATGGACAGAAACAAAACTTTTTATTAGAGTTCTGAATGTGTAGTTATAATAACGTGAGCAGCTTTATCTCATGTATGTGTAGGTTATTGTTCAGCATGGAAAATAGCAGAAATGTAACATTTGTCCCAATATCTTGACTGTTTTTTTTTTTTTTTTTTTTTTTTTTTTTTTACCGTTTAAGGGGGGGGGTTTTTTTTTTTTTTTTTTTTTTTTTTTTT